ACACTTACGGACTACAGATATCTCCACTAATATGCCAAGTCTGGAAGGAAAAGTCAAAATAAAATATTTCAAATAGTAGCATGGAACTCTGTGTTCATATAAATTTATTTCACTCCATAAACTGAGTCTATAGGTGATACTATCTCTAAACGTGGCATTTTTATGTTCCTCTAAAACAGCGGTTCTCAACCTGTGGGTCGCGACCCCTTTGGTGGTCGAACGACCCTTTCACAGGGGTTGCCTAAGACCATCCTGCATATCAGATATTTACATTACGATTCATAACAGTAGCAACATTACAGTTATGAAGTAGCAACGAAAATAATTTTATGGTTGGCTCACAACATGAGGAACTGTATTTAAAGGGCCAGAAGGTTGAGAACCACTGCTCTAAAAGGAATGTGTAAGATAATCAAGAAGGCTCAATTTTAGAGAAAATAAATATTTTTTTAAAAAAGTATTGGTCTTTGCTTATGCCTCCAATCATCATACTATATAAAAGAATATAATATGTGACATATATATAACATATGTCACATATTATATTATCATATTTTTATAGCATTATAATCTACTATAATATAATAGAAGTTTAAATTACAGACCAGGAAAGAAAAGTATCATCCACAGTAATAATATTCAAATAGTCACCATTTAGTGAATTTTCTTGTAATCACTTTTCTTTGTATAGCTTTTATTAGTCTTATACATGGTTGTGATCATACTGTATGAATACTCTTGTATCCTGCTTTTTCAGTAAACAACATTATGAGATGTGCTTGAGATCCTGCTGTATAGTTAAGAGAATATCAAACTCAACACCAAACAATATGTGCATGTCATAAGAATTCTGGTCTCCACTCAATTTCCAAGTTCCTTTCATTCATTTAATAGGTGTTTATATTGTAGGTGCCTATTTTGTGCCACATGCAGTGCTGGGAGATGAAAATACAAAGAAGTAAGCAAGCACATGCTTGTCCTCAAAGAATTCTCAGCTCAGCAATTACTCTCTGCCTTCTCAGAAATTTGGCTTACCTATGTGAGTTTGAAGGTAATAAAAGAAATGCTTACAATTTGGCTATTTTTAACTTCATTCTTTTGAGGAAAATTACTATATACAAAGATTTATCTTAAACAACAACTGAAGTTTTCCACATTTTATCTAGTTATATTCTCATCTTACAGGTGAAAGAGCTATAATTCTTTTGCTCATTTTGTGACACGTATTTTTCAACATGTATTGCAATTATGTACTAGTCCATTGGTCTTGAGATCAATGTGTTTCAGAAACCAATATAAGAGCTTTCATTTCTTCAAGATGTAAATTTTTAGATTATTCATACATCCCCATCCTACATATTTCCATGATATATTTGTTTATGTGCTGGCAGAAAATCATAGTCTACCAATTTAGATAGCAAATGTAAAGCAAATGCTTCAGTAAGCACAGGTGCTTACATTCAAATGTAATGATCCACATGCACCTGGAACTATTTGCATATATGCACAAGCATTAGCAGTTGTAACTGACTTTATTTGGAAAAATTTAAGCACGCCTAGTAATTTCCTTTGTTATCTTCCAATTTAAGTCTCGTTGCCTAAATGGTGTCTCAAGATATGAAATAAGAGATAAAACAAGGTATTGAGCCATAATTTCAAACCTTATGAAATACACCTCAAGTGGTAATGAGTGGGAGCACTGAGCAGTGAAGGAGCCGCACACAATAATCAGAAAATCTGTTCTCTATTTGAGGCTCCACCACTTGCTAGTGACTGAGTTTTTGCAAGCTGTTATTAATGTGTTTTCATATCAATAAAATAGGGATGTTGACATTCTTGCCACACTTACAGCATTAGTGCATTACTATTACAAAGCAAATCTTTGTAAACATGCAAAACACTACATGAGTGTTAGAAATTGGGTCTATAGCTATTTCCTAAAAATCTCAGTATAATTTTTATTTTTTGAAAGGCTCTGTTCCCTTACATTTACTTCTAAGTTGTCACAAAGGTTTTACATAAGAAAGGTGTGTTTTTTAGAAACAGCACCCGTAGTTTATCAAAAGGGGTACTGCAGTTACCAAGGAGCTACTGTATGAAGACTCCAGAGACATGTTTAAGAAAGAGAAAAAGAGAACTGGGGTAGCAAAACAAACTGGTAACTTGAATTCCTCTTATTTTCAGTCTGGGTTTAATGTGGAGACTTGCCCACTATTCTGTGTCTTTCGGCACTGAGAACTTAAAAAACTGTTAGGATGTAGATCCTTTAGAAGCAGTCCAACAGTTAGGATTTCAAACTCTTTTTAGAGCCGTAGGCATGAAAGAGTCACTAATGGTTTTAACCACTGGAGACTGAAGTGGTTTTGTTTGTCAATGTTTTTCCGTTAATGAAGATTACCTAGCTAGGTCCCTAATGATATTTGTTTATATCAGAACTCCCAGGAAGCAGAAATCTGCACACTAGAACTAAAAATAACACCAGTACAGTCGTTACCATCTCCAATGATCTAAAAGGCAGTAAACACAATACTTTGAAAACGTTAGGTTTTGCTACTATCATATAGGAAATAAACATGCTTTATTAATAACTGTGTGGGAATTTTTTTTCCCCTCAACTGAAACTTATATGAAGTAAGGGGATCTCTGTCTTAATGTATTTACTTTTATTTTTAATCCTCACCCAAGGATATTTTTCCATTGATTTTTAGAGAGAATGGAAGGGAGTGAGGAGGGTGGAGAGAGAGAGAAACATCAATGTGTGAGAGACACATCGACTGGTTGCCTCCCATATTTGCCCTGACCTGGGCCGATATTGAGCCTGCAACCAAGGTATGTGCCCTTGACTGGGAATCAAACCCAATACCCTTAAGTCCATGGGCTAACGCTCCAACCACTGAGCCAAACCAGCTAGGGCGTATTTACTTTGGTCAGTAAAAGCACCACCAAAAATTCTAGCGCCAGATTCCCAAGGGACCATAAATCTAGATGTATTATGGATTCTCCCAACTCAATTAATTGAATAGCACTTGTCTTCCTAATCTGAATACCTATTATGAGTATGTCTTGTTAACAACATGCTTCTTTTCTTTCACTTAACCCTCTCTCTGATTAGCACATAATGGTCTGTCTCTCACACAGCCTCCTCTCTATCATATCATAGTATTCCATTATGTAGATATACCCTAGTTTCTTCAAATATTCCCTAATTGCTGGACACTTGGTTGTTTCCAATCTTTTACTACCATGTACAATGCTTCAATGAGTAACTTTGTTTACTTGAGTTCAACCTATCCACAAAACAGATTTCTAAAAGTGGCACTGTCTGGTCAAAGGGCAAACTGCATCTGTAATTTTGGTAGATACTGCCAGTTTCTGTTCCACAGGATTTGTGCCATTTTGTATTCCCACCAAATGTGCAAGTACTTGTTTCCTGAAGACTATCTGTAAAAATACACATGCCTGGATTCCACGCCTCAAATTCTGACTCAGTAGATAGAGGGTCAGCCCTGAGCAGGCTATCATCAAAAAGTTCCCCAAATAGCACATTCCTGGTTGAGAACCCCAGTTCTAAAAGGAATTCTCATCTTATTTTCACTGCTCAGATACACAAGAAAATCAGAGTTCAATCTTTAACTTTCAAAGTTTATATTCCATATCACCCCTTCAATCATAATTTTTGAGTGCCTACTATGTGTTCGACACTCTAGGTGTCAAGGACATAAGGGTAAATAATAATACCTGTCATCAGGGTCTAATAATGATACATATTTGAGACAATGTATAAGCATAGTGTTAGAGATTTACATAGAATTTTACTGAAATACTGAAAAGGGATACTTCACCTTAACAGGAATGCCAGAGGAGGCTTCCTGAAGGATGTGCCCTGGAACTCCATTGGATTAACCAGGTAGAAAACAACATATGCGAAGGTAGAAAATAAGAAACAGAAAGGGTGGTATGTAACTGGAAATATTTCATATTGCTAGAGCATAAAATTTAAGGGAGAGAAGTAAGCTGCAAAAGTAGGCAGAGATCAGGTCACTAAGCATCTAGGATGTCATGTTTAGAAGCTTGAACTTTTATAGGCAAAAAAAGTCACTCAAGGGTTTTAAAAGCTGGGAGTAACACGATCAGATTGTTGTTCTAGATTTATGGACAATGGACTGGAAGGGCACATAACTGGAAAAAGAGAGAGCAGGAAACTGGTGCGGTAATCCAGATGAAGGCTGGAATTAGGGCAGGGGTTAAAGGAGAGAATGGACTAAAGAAATCATAAGAGATAAAATGAGCAGGACATAGACATTAGATTTTGGAGGTGGAGGTGAACAGAAGTTTGATTACAAGGTATTATCAAACCACTACCAAGAATAGCAACAGATTTAAGCTATTTTTCCAGGAGCAGTGATAGGTTTGCACTGATTCAGTCATGCTCTCTTATCTGGTCTTCGCATGTAATAGACCAAGGATAGATGTACGCAGACCAGCAAAACACACAGAATGGTGCATCACGCTCTAATCAACTAAGTAAAGCAAGCATAGGCAACCCAACAGGGAAACACACATTACTGATGCACCTTCACTTATAATTCCTCTATTGGTGAGTCTCTTGATTCCACTTTCATCTATGCCCCTGAAGTGACTTAGACAATTGCTGCAACATAAATAAATGTCAGACAGGGAACAATATTTGGCTAAGGGGCAGCAGTATGAACAGCTGTTTCCCCAAAGCTAAATGCAAAACATTTTGGGCAGCCTGCTATCCTGCCGTTAAACGAACCCTTCCCATTGCTCTAATTTATCCAAGTACTAGTATAATGGTCCTGTGAGGATGGAGCAGGAATGAGTTGCATGTACTAAACCTGGCACTTGCTTTCTTCTCAGAGTTCCTAAAAAACAAACTGGAGGGAAACTGAAAACTAAATAACCATCAGATGAAAACAAGTCCACTGTTTAGAAAGTTCATGAATGAAACACACACACACACACACACTAAGGCTTACCTTTCTTTTATCTTCATCTGTTGGTTCAAATTTGAAAGTAGCCCTATGCTGAGGGAGGGAAAAAAGGGAAAACAATGTCATTTAAATATACAGATTTTTAATTTTGGCTATGTTTAAAAATATATAATGTCTCTGTAAAAATGTTACCTTCCCCATATCATATCTCACTTTTCTTATTAAAGTAAGAGAGATCGGCATGTAAGCAAATAATCTTAAGAAGTATAAAAGGACTATAGCAGAAATATATACCAAGGAGCACAGAGTGGCAAGCCTCTAACTGTGCCCAGGGAAATCTGGAATGCTCTGCATGCAGTATAGAGAATTTGAACTGGACCGTGGGGTATGAATAGAAGTTTGCCAGGAGGAAATGGAAAGCATTGCAGGAATAGAAACAAAGGCTCAGATGTGTGAAACAATATGATATATTTGTGAAATAAGCAGCTCTGTCAGAGTGAAAGCACAAATGTTAGGGGGTGGGAGGAGTAAAGAAAGATGAGAATGGAAAAGTAGATTGGATAGAGATTTGGAAGGTCCTTCCAATGCTGCTGAGGAGTTTGTACTTCCTTTGTCATATGTAATAAGAAATCATCAGATAATTATCGATAGAAAAGAGACTATTCAGACAAATATTCTGTAAGAATGAGGGTTTGATATTGTGGCTCCATCACTTACTAGTTAGTTCAGTAAGTAACTCTCCATAACTGAATTTCTCATGTGAAAAGAGGGGGTACCTAGTTCACAGAGCTGCTATGAGGGTTAAAACAGCTATGGCATATAACTCACCATCTCAATGCCTGGCACATACTAAACAGTAAACATTAGGGTTATATTGATGGTGATGCCAATGATATTGAGGGGAAAAATAACTGAAAGAGAAGAGAGTGTCATGACTCCTAAAATGACTGGCGGGAACACTGTATTTTCCACTCTGTAGCTAAAATAGATGATGGAGTAAGCTGAGTTATCTACTGTCACAGAAAGAGTGATGGTACCCAAAAACTAGAGCACAAAATTCCTCATTCTCCTCTCAAGTTTTAGTCAGAAGAACCAAGTGCTTTTATGAATCCTAAGCTTTCCTTTAAAAAAAAAGTCTGCAGTGAACATCTCTCTGCCTTTCCTTTGTATTCCCTCACTGGCCATACTAACAAACATTTACTGGCAACCCACCAGGAGTTAAGTACACTGAGTACTGAAGATATCATCATTACAGAGGGGTTCTGTATTGACAGCTTTGTAGAAGAAGAAATTTTTGAAATTAAATTTATGAGATGGAGAAGAAATGTTGACAGAGCAGAAGTTCTGAATATACGAAATGGTCAGAGGGAGGACTTAGAGGTAAAAGAGACTGCTTCTTATATGGTATGCAAACCATACCATAAATTAAGATGAATTATGTCAGGGGGTAGGGGCTGGATTTTAAAATTTACACTTGAACTGTAAGATAGGTAATAGGCATCCAGCAGAAGACTCTGAAAAAAATGTGAACAGTAGAGCATTGCTGGAATATTTTGGACAGTAGCTTACAGACCAGATCAAAAGAGAGCAAGACTGAAGACACAAAGCTCTCTGGGAAATGGTCATCAATAATCCAAGCATGATATTGCTGGCAGCAGTATAAACTGACACAAACTTTAAAAGAGAAAGTGATTTGGCAACACATGTTGGAAACCATAAAAATATTCATCCCCTTTGACCCAGAACTTCTACTCCTAAGAATTTACCCTAATGAAATTCATCCAGAATGAGAGAAAAATTATATATGTAAACATATTCACTGCAGTGTTATTATAGAAGAAAAGAGACAGCCTTGAATATCCAATAACATGAGATTAATTAAACTGCTGTGCATCCACCTGATAGAATATTATATTACAATTTTAAAAAGATGGCTAAAAAGCTCTGAAACAACATGGCAAATTACGTATGATGGCATTAAGTGGAAACCATCAAATTATAGTTCTGTGTCTATGACGAAAGTATCTACATAAATATATGGATGCATTTGAACAATGCAAATATAAAAGCAGCTGTACAGGGTGATGGAATTTCTGGTGATTTTCTTCTTTACAAAACTCACTTTTGGTATATTATTTTTATAATTAAAAGGGAAATTTTAAAAATAAAAGATGAGCCCTGGCTGGTGTTGCTCAGTTGATTGGAGCATCCTCCCATACACCAAAAGATTGTAGATTTGATTCCCGGTCAGGGCACATACCTAGATTGCAGGTTTGATACCCAATCAGGGCACATACCTAGGTTGCACGTTCAATCCCCAGTAGGGGACATGTACAGGAGGCCTCGAATCGAGGTTTCTCTCTCACCTCTCTATCTCTACCCACCCCCCCGCCCCCGCCTGTTCTCCTCTCTTAAAAAAAAAAGAGAGAGAAAAATCAATAAGTATATTCTCAGGTGAGGATTAAAAATAAAATAAAAAATGAAGGGCCCTAACCGGTTTGGCTCAGTAGATAGAGCATCGGTCTGCAGACTGAAGGATCCCAGGTTCGATTCTGGCCAAGGGCATGTACCTTGGTTGCGGGCACATCCCCAGAAGGAGGTGTGCAGGAGGCAGCTAATCGATGTTTCTCTCTCATCGATGTTTCAAACTCTCTATCCCTCTCTCTTCCTCTCTGTAAAAAATCAATAAAATATATTAGAAAATAAATCTAAAAAATAAAAATAAAAAATGAAGAATGAACAAGAAGAAAAGGAAGGAAGAAGTTGTAAATCTGAAGACTATAACTTAGGAATTTATAGACATGAAGTTTAGTAAAAACCAACATTAGATAAAAGACAAAGAAGCACCAGAATCAAGCTAGGCTTGTAAACTGAAGCTTAGTAAATATCCAATACAAATGAAAATAAGTTGTACTTAGAAACCAAGAAAGCTTATTCTGTGCCATTATATGTGAATTCCATAAACTATCTGAAATAAATGTACCTAGTTGCCAATATAATGGTTCTTGTAAATATTTTTAGCATTTATGGTAAGGGGATAAAAAAAGAAATCTTTTGGGGGAAAAACCCATTAAGTTATAAAAATGTATTTTTAACAGTTTCTACATAGAATTAATCTTTTAAGGTAACAATTTAGAATGGTACCAAGGACTAATTTTTCTGTTGCTTTTTAAATGCAAGGCTGATCTTGTCATAAAACTACAACTTTAAAAAAAAAAAAAAAAGGAAGAAAAGCTTTCAAGAACCCTGTCTAAATAGCATGAGGGTTTAATTTAATTAGAAGGTATATTGGTATATGAGGCAATAAAATTGAATTTTGAATGTGCCAATCTACTCAGAAACTCAGCCTTCGAAGCTTGTTTGGATCCAAAGATATTTAAGGCTGAGTTCTTTTATCCAACTTAGATCATCCCTACCCTATTCAGTACCTCTAACCTTTATTCTCCCTCCTTTGTACAGCTGAAAGGAAGGGGAACTACATTTCTGGCTATAAATGCCTTTCTAGAACTGCTAGCCACCTCACCTCTACACACTTTATTTCCAGACAAGCAGGAGCAACAAGTCAAATATAAACTAAAGAGTAAAACCATTGTTCAATTTAGAGATCTAGTAAGGTACAACAGCTCAGTGACACACCGGACTCATTAGCAAGTTACTAAACTTTTCTACCAGTCAGAATTTCCGTCTTTATGTATAGCACCTTGCACAGAGCAGGTGTCCAATAAGTGGCCACTATTGTCATCATTGCATGGCCTATGACGTGCCCAAATACTGAATTACTTATGGCAAGGGAACTACAGTTATTTCATAGATTTCTAAAGATACACTCCCACGGTACCGATACAAGGAAATTACTCTAACTGGGGTGGGGTGTGTGTGTTGCTGTGTTTCATAAATAGAGAGTACTTCTAGAACTAAATGCCAGTAACTTCAATTATACAACCCATCTGGAAATACGAACAAGGTATAACAAAGGAACAGCCCACTAAAATGCTCCTCTGTAAATATCTGCAGAATGAACTGAGTCAGAACTCAGCCTCAAGGTGGAAAGCAAGTCCTCTTACATGGTACAGGATATTTATATGCCCTAGTCCCGTGGTCGGCAAACTGCGGCTCGCGAGCCACATGCGGCTCTTTGGCCCCTTGAGTGTGGCTCTTCCTAAGCCTTAGGAGTACCCTAATTAAGTTAATAACAATGTACCTACCTATATAGTTTAAGTTTAAAAAATTTGGCTCTCAAAAGAAATTTCAATCGTTGTACTGTTGATATTTGGCTCTGTTGACTAATGAGTTTGCCGACCATTGCCCTAGTCAAATGTGGAGGCTGTATTTCTAGAACTGTCCCAATATTAGGTCCCTATTAATCAGGTTCTTCTAGCACATAAATGAAGACCTCACTGCTATCACTGTGGTTTTCCTCTCTTATGAGGACTACTCTTGGAGACCTACCTGCCTGAATCTTAAATAACTTTTACCTTTCATTTGGCTATAAACATGCCATACTTCGAATGTAGAATCATGTTGGAGCTCTCTATGGGCTAACATTTGCCAGGTATCTTCTATGGCCACCAGACCATCTCTCTGGTTATCATTACTGTTGATGACTCTAGGCCTGTTTCTTCACCTACTAACTGAGCGGGTTGGGTTGGATGCAATTATCTTTGAGACTCCTTCTAGTCTAAATATCCTGTGATTCAAGAACTATGATCCTACTGTGCATCTTGGGGTCCTGGATCACTATTTTTGTTGATAATCATAATGATGGCAACCAATTTCTCAATATTAAGTCTTTATCAGAATAGGCCCTAAAAGAGAAGAACGAGATTGGACAGCTTAGACTAGCTCAATACATATTTCCCGTAATAGCTCATTCTGTAACTGGAGTGGAGGTGATGAGGGTTCAACAGTAGCACTGGCACTGGAAAACCTCTTTCTTCTGTTCTCAAAAACACAGAATAGACATGGAAAAGGCAACATGGCCTTGCGAAAAAGAGCCGTGGAAATGAAATCTGAAGACTAGGTCCACCACATCTAGCCATGTGCCCTTGAGCCTGTAGATCAGGGGTGGGGAACTTTTTTTCTGTCAAGGGCCATTTGAATATTTATAACATCATTTGGGGGCCATACAAAATTATCAACTTAAAAATTAGCCTGCTAATTTGGTCAAACACTTAATTAACTCACCCCTACTGCCTTGACAGGGCCAGACCAAATGATTTTGAGGGCCTTATATGGCCTGCGGGCTGGATATTCCCCATCCCTGCCATAGATAGTCACTTTGTCTTTCTGAACCTCAATTTCCTATTCTCCCAAAAGGGAATACTTCCATCTCCCTCCTAAGTTTTAATGTAAGAGGATTATATATGATGACATGTGAAAGTACTTAGGATATCAGGCACTCAATAAATGTTAACAGGTGAATTGAGAAGAGAGGAAAAAGAACAACCACCTTTCCTATTTTTTTAATACTTTTTAAAAAATACTTTCCTATACTGAGTCAACCAGCATTATGCCCTTGAGAAACAGACAAGTATCTTTTTTTTTTCTGGGATAAATAGATCTTGCCTCTCCCTATGATAACCAGGATCAGTGAAAAAAGTAAGAAGGCTCGGAAATTAGAGTCTCTGTAACACAGTAGAAATTAGAGCCAGATAGGTAACTGCTGCTCTAAATATGGTACACAGTGTTTTGCTACCCATCAGAAAATACAAGGGTCAAGGAAAAAGAGAAAGATTGGAGTATACTCCCTAATTTTTCTTATGTCAACTAGGTCAACTCAGTGGCACATATTTAATTCCTACCTTTTTTTGTTAAAAAACTAACAGTTATGGGTTCTTAGAGACAGGCACTACTCTAAGTGCTTTACACATATAACTCATTTAAGCCTGGCAACATGTAGGTACTATTATTATCCCTGTTTGGTAGAAGAATAAACTGAGGCAAGGAAAGTTAAGTAACTTGCCCTAGGGCCGTGGTCGGCAAACTGTGGCTCGCAAGCCACATGCTGCTCTTTGGCCCCTTGAGTGTGGCTCTTCCACAAAATACCACATGCGGGTGTGCACGTACAGTGCGATTGAAACTTTGTGGCCCATGCGCAGAAGTCGGTATTTTGTGGAAGAGCCACACTCAAGGGGCCAAAGAGCCACATGTGGCTCGGAGCCGCAGTTTGCCGAGCCGCAGTTTGCCGACCACTGCCCTAGGGCACAGGGATGGTGAATTGAGAATCAAGAGTCTAGGCCAGTGATGGCGAACCTTTTGAGCTTGGCGTGTCAGCATTTTGAAAAACCCTAACTTAACTCTGGTGCCGTGTCACATATAGAATTTTTTTGATAGTTGCAACCATAGTAAAACAAAGACTTATATTTTTGATATTTATTTGATATATTTAAATGCCATTTAACAAAGAAAAATCAACCAAAAAAATGAGTTCACGTGTCACCTCTGACACGCCTGTCATAGGTTCGCCATCACTGGTCTAGGCAGTCTGGCTCAAGAGCCTGTGCTTGGGCCACAGGACTTCTTGATACCTTGATCATCAGAACTGTAACACCCCGAGTGAATGCCTCCAGGGGCACTGGGCTCAGTGTTTGGCATTATAGTAGTACTTCATTTAATTTAAGCCTCAAAATAACTTAGGTGATATTTTTCCTATTTTACAGATAAGGACACTGAGACTCAGGTCCTTATTCATAGTTGTGAAGCTAATAATGGCAGATCTAAAACAAGATTTATCTGACTCCAAATTCCACCTTCGTTCAACTATATTTGACTGCCTCCTTTTGAGGACTGGCTTTATTAGAGAAATAAGGTAATAAAGAACATCGCCCAAACAATGAACTACATTCTCTCTATATATCATTCATTTCCCTTCTTGGTTAGACTCCTCAACCCCCCATAACCACCTCTTATTCTAACCATTTTTAAAATAAATTTTTCCAGATAGGGAAAATGAAGCACATGGTATCCAGTTTTTTCAGAGTTTCAGATTCCATATCCTATCCAGCTGAACAATTTAATTCCACCTCCCCGTTCTTATTGCCGGACCACAGCAATCATACTTCCCCTTCCTATTCATCTGCCTCAACGTCTTTCGCCTTGAGGGGCAAAGTCCCACTGCCAATGTGAAATTCAGCTATTTTCTCTGCACCTATTTTTCTATTTTTTCTGGCCCTACTATAATCAGCATTAAACATGAGAACTCTTTTCTGAAGGAGCTAATTGACTCAGTTTGGAGCAAGTCCGATTTTCAGGCTTGGCCCAAAAAGTTCAAGCCTCCCAAACACTTTAGGAATATCCCCTTTAAAAAATACATATTCGGCCCTGGCCGGGTGGCTCAGTTGACTGGAGTGTCGTTCCATATGCCAAAAAAGGTTGAGGTTTGATTCCAGGCCAGGGCACATACCTAAGTTGTGGATTCGATCCCTGGTCAGGGTGTGTACTAGAGGCAACCGATAGATGTTCCTCTCTCTCTCTCCCTTCCTTCCTCTCTCTAAAAAATTAAAAAACATATCCTTGGGTGAGGATTAAAAAAACACATATAGTTAACATTACAACTTTAAAGGCATCCCCAGTGTGAAAGGGGAGCTGGAGATGTCCAGAATTTAAGTTGACAGCACTTGACCAGGAGTGGTAACCAACCTGGAGGAGATCAAGGGGAGGGAGAGGTAAGTTGGAGGAAGCAAATCTGGAGTTCCAATCAGTTTAGACATGAAGGGGAGAAAGAATATTAAAAGCGATGATAAGATCCAGTTAGAGGGTTTTCCTCCTCCCTTCCTATGGAAGAAAAGGTTTTCTTTATTGCTAGATATGTGTCATACAGTAAGTGCTAAGTAAATACTAACTGATTCAACACAATGGCAAGGTTTCTGTTGTATTTCTTTCTTTTGAAAATAACTTTGCAGTGCTTCAAATCTTTTTTTGGAGAGCAGTTATAAATCAAGTAAAATGAATATAATCTGCACAATATGTGCATCTATGCATTAAGTGAATTCCTCCTAAATTAGGTAAACGGGAAACAGTAACGTGTATCCAAAAGTGAAGGAGCTAAGCTATGAAGAGAAATGAATCCATGCATCATCTCAAAGAAATCAGGATAGTCCTGTAGAAACAGTAGTCAGACAACCTAAATTCAAATCTCGGCCCCATCTCTCAATGGCTGTGTGGATTTGGGGCAACTTTATCCTAAATTTTATCATTTGTGAAATGGGAATACCACCACTTTCCTCAAAGTGTTGTTGGGAAGATTACTCGGGAATGAAGGTGTATTATTTTTGGATCTCCACCCAGAGCAGAAATGGCATACTGGCAGCTCAATAATACAAAGTGCATGAAAGTGCAGTGGTGGGCACATAGCAAACACAGAAGAGGAAATTATGAATGGAAGCAAATAAAAGGAAGAAAGATGTTCTATCTAGGGTGTGACTTGGTGTTGGGTGTGTTTTCACAGAGGGAGTAGTCAGTCATTTCTTATAAAGTAGTCTTCTTGATGGAAGAATAACGGTGTGGTATGCTACCTTTTGAAGCGAGCATGTAAAATTCCTGGAAGGATCAGCAACGGAAAGCTAACGGTTTCAGGAGAGAGATTCAGAGAAGTGGCTGGGATTTATAACAAGATACCTTTCTACCGCAGCGTTGTACAGTGCAAAGAACAATGAATGGTTTGAAGACCAAGGCTGGAATCCCAGCTCCCAACCATGACCTTGGACAAGTTACTTAACCAATCAAGAATCTCAGTTGCAAAACGCAGATAAAACCTCACAGGACTGCTGTCAAGATTAAATGAGATAAGGGATGGGAAAACTGTTAATGCGATACAAATAACACGTATTATTAGGAGCTGGATTCTACCTTCACTTACAACATAGCATGTCCATGACCTTGGCATGATTTCAGTTCTTTGCGCCTCGGTTTTCTCATCTATAAAATGGGGAGGATCATACCATCTACCCCACAAACACTCTGAGAATCAAGTCAGACCACATACGAGACATCACACCTTGAAAACGGTACCGGTACATAAAGAACGACTATGGTGGCTGGTAACGTTTTATGCATGTCGGGGTCCGTGGTTAAGCAAATATTTTTATGCTACACAGGTGAGGAAGCCTCGCGTGCATTTATGCATCCAAGAGTGGGGCACAGGGCACAGACGCACATCCACGGACTCCGGGGGTGTGACCTGCGCGCTTGGGAGGACGGACCGCAGGACTGGCTGCTGGGCCGGAATCAGAGGAGTGGGCGCCAGAGTGGGGGCAGGGGGGTGCAGGATGCACGGCTGGGCAAGGCTGGGGGCACAAACACGCATGTCCACGCCGGAAACATTTTCGGGGGAGAGCGATGCGCATCCCCGGAATGAGGGGGTGGGGAGGGATGCGCGTGCAAGCCCGGGGGGCGGCCGGGGGTGCCACACCGCAAGCCGGGGGCCAGGGCTCTTTACCTTATCGCTGTAATCCCTCAGGACCCGCTCGATAGCCCCCGCCTCGCCGGCCCGGACGATGTACAGGGCGCGCTCCTCATCCATGGCCGCAGGTGCGGGGGAGCCGCGGCCGCTCTGCGCGCCCGAGCCGCTGCCTCCAGGTAAACGCCTCGCGCCCCCGCTCGCTCGCTCCTTCCCAGCTTCCTTCCTTCCCTCCTTCCCTCCCTCCCTCCTGCCTCCAACCCGCCAGCCTCCGCCCGGGCAGGCCCGACGTCACCGCCCCTCAACTTTCACCCCGCGACGTCACCGGTCCCCCAGCAACCAGCGTCCCGCGGCCGCCCCTGACCAGGCCCAGGACTCGACCGAGGCCTGCCGAGCGGCCTGAGGGGGGTCAGGCCCGAGGTCCTGCTGGCTTTTCTGCCTCTCCCTCCCTCGAAGAAGCCAGCCTTTTAAGTGGGCTTTCACGGACAGCACTGTTCCCACCTGACCCTCCTCTATGAATCATTCTTCTCAGCTGACGAGAACGACCCGGCTCGTCCCCGCCCCTCTAAGAGACAGCAGCTGAGTGGACTACAACTCCCTGCGTGCAATGGGGTCATCCCACGGTCCCATCCAATATGCTGGAGTGCCGAATGGCATGCCGGGATGAGTAGTCATCCAGCGGGAAAGGCTTCCCTCCAAAGGCATGCTGGGAACTGTGGTCCTGCGGAGGCCGGAAACAAGAGTCCCACGGGCCCGGAGGCCAGCGGCCAAGAAACCGTTAGGGGGTGGGTCTGAGCGTGGGCCCTGCCTCCTTTTTGTTCCTTACGGAGCTGGCTGTCCTGCCGGAGCCCTGGCTGGTCGGACTGGTTGCCATTCGCGGAAGCTGGCTCCCTTTGGTGGGAACCGTGAAGCACCGTTTTAATTCCCACTTTTCTCGTTTAGCGGTTTCGGTCTCTGTCAGATTCTTTCCTTCCTCCTTGTTTGCGGTCTTGTAATGTATTCAGCTACGGGTCGTGTGGGAAATTGCAGGTAGTTATCTAGATAAAGGGGGCCCAGCGATTTTTTAATACCGTTTTTAAAATATCATTTTGAATCTTTCGATTACAGTTGACATACAGTATTTTATTAGTTTCAGGAGTACACCCCCGTGATTAGACATTACATAACTTACCAAGTGATCATCCCGATATATCTCGTACCCATCTGACACCGTCCGTACATAGTTGTTAGGATGGTCCTGACTGTATTCCTTGTGCTGTACTTGCGGGCCCTATGGCTATTCTGTAACCAACAATTTGTACTTCTTCATCCCCGCACCTTTTGTCCATCCTCGCAGCCCCCCTCCCATCTGGCAGCCGTCACCATGTGCTCAGAACCTATGGGTCTGTTTCTGCTCTGCTTGTTTGTTCTAGAGTCAGTCCATTGTTGCTAGATGCGTATTGATTGCCACGCTGTTGGTCATATTTTTTCTTCTTCTTAAGGAGGACCCCTTGACATTTCATGTGATCCTGGTTTGGTGGCGATGAACTCCCCTGGCTTTGTCTTGTCTGGGAAGCTCTATGCAGGCCCACCTCTGCTAAGTGTCTGCTGCCTGCAGGCAGCCCATTCCTTTAGCGGTGGGTGCCACAGCCAATTGGCCACAGATGCAGCCAGCAAATATTTGCCAACCGATGCTGTGCCGGGCACTGTTCCATACGGCCCAGCGCTGTGTGGTGTGGAGACGGTGAGCCCCAAGTGAGTGCCTGCCCTGACCGAGCTTCAGTTCTAGTGCTGACCCCCTGAGCGGGGCACCGTTCTCATGTTCAGATGAGGAAACTGAGCCTCGGAGGGGCTAACAGATTAATCGACCAACACTGCAGAATTTGGGAACTGAAGTTGTTCTTTTTGTTCTCCCGAGCTATTTGTTAGAGTGGGTGACGTTTCCAAGTGATTTCCAGTTTTCCATTCCAAGCAGCCTTTACCAGAAATAGTCTTTCATGCCTCCCCTGCCCACCTCCACCTCTTGAGCTGTGAAGAGAGGAACTAGAGGGGACAAAAATGTATTCATCTAATAATTGTTGAGTTTCTTCCATGGGTCAGATATTGTGCTAGGCTTTGGGGAATTTGGAGAGAAAACCAAATATGGAATCTGAGCTCATGGAGGTTTAGGTCTTTCTGTGGTTTATACTTTTCATGCAGCAAAAATTTATTGAGCATATTTGTTGAGCCAGGTAGGTGCTGTGTCCATAATTAACTAAATGAGAAAGATTTTAATCTATCTCTTGAAAGAGCACACTGTATAGAAAGGTCATGCTATAGTAAGCTACATCCCCTTAGGTAATAGTAACATCTTGCAATTGTTTTGAACAGTTTACAAACCATTTGAATATACACTATCTCAGTGAATCCTTGAGGAAGGTATTTTTCCCATTTATAGATAAGAAAACAGGCTCAGATGGGTTAAATAACACAAACTGGGACTCAGACTGAGAGCTGTAATATAACAGTATTTGGGTGCCTACTCTATGTCCAGTACTGTATCTTGTGCTTTTTGGGTAACCATATATTTATTTTTGGAGCAAGGGCTCCTGGACAGGATACTAACAAGCATAAAGTATCTGAGTAGGGCTGTGTCTTTCAAAGAGAGTCTTACACATGTGTTTGAAATGTCTAACAGAATTAGGCTTGTGTTTTTAGGCAAACCTGTATTTCTAAAACGAGATTTAAAAATGTGAAACCACATAAATTAACGGTTTGGGGAAATTGCACTTTAGTAATTTTAATTAAGCACTAATATTCAGATTTTATAAATTAAAAGGATCTTTGACTCCAGTTCAAGTCATCTTTTGACCACTGACGAGACTCTGGTCCCAGAAAAATTAAGTGACTTGTCCAAAGTCAATAGTTAAAAGCAGACTCTGGGACTAGAGCCTAGACTAGCTGAATCCTGGGTCACTACGTCACTTTACCTCCCTGGATATTTAGTTATGTGATACGTTCAGTGACTAGAGCCTCTAGTCCAACACCAACTCTAGTTCCTGTTGATTCTTGGATGGCCTGGTACGAAGGAATTAGAGACTGGGTAATCAAGGCAGCAAATACTTAGTCACAAGTCATTGTTCTGAAAGATGGTAATATAATTCTATACATATAACTAGTATATCAATAGTGCTTTACTACTCTCAAAATATCTCCATGTAGTTCATCTGATTTAATCATTATAAGAGTTGAAAAAAATACAAGGTCAATAGGACAGGCACTATCTTTCTTTTTACAGAGAAAAGGGAAGTTCATGGTGTTGATTAGCTTGCTCATAAGCAATAAGTTGGCTAATAAGTGGTATAGTTAAGGGCTAGAAGTGCTCTAGGTTCTGATAGAATAAAATGTTATAGACTTATAGGTCAGGGCCAATGAACAAGCCTGCAAATAGATACTAGTCATTTATTTTGGACTTTGATATATCCTGCTGTGGCACTTCCTCTGCTATGACAATGGGTAAGTTGGAATGTGCCAAATTGAAGGTTTTTAAGGAGTACTTGGTGCCAACAGCTTTTAAAATCCAAATCTTCCACATGCAGTTATTTTTACACCTTTCTTTAGAAGAAATAGACATTTAAAAACGAAACGACTTGGTCTAGTCACTACAGCTCCAGAAATGGAATTCAGAGAATTCCACTAATTCAAGATAGGACCTGTCACTCAGTCTTTCTTAAGCCACAGTGTCCTCAGCTGTAAAAATAAACGAATTAAGTCAGATATTATTTTAGTTCTCTCTCAGTTCTAACATTTTGTGATCCTAAGAACCACAAAAGTATATTTGAACATGCTAGTTCTTTAGAAAAATCTATTAAGAGTGAGGTTGTACAAATCAATATGTGCAAATTAAATATCAATATGATATATGCAAATCATTTCCTGGGCATACCTCTAAAGATTCTGATTCAGTTGATCTGTGGTGAGGCCTGGGTACTGGTAGTTTTAAAAGCCTCTCTGTTGATCTGAGTGAGCAGCCAGGATTGAGAACCAGTGGACCAATATTTTGATAGAGTATCAACCACTGAACCAGTTTTTTGATAGACTACCAAAGTCAAGTGCATGTGACTCATTAGTTAGTCTTTGAGAAATGAGAATGACACAGCAAGATGAAAATTATTTTAAATTCATTTTCTACCTAGAATGAAGTCTCCTTTTTATAACAAAGTTAATTATCATGGTTTGATCCTTTAACAAATACAGGTTGGGCAAAAGTTCATTTATAGTTGTGAGTACAGGAAACACAGACTCTGTTCTTATATTATTGTATCATTTTTTATACAAACAATTGTAAACCTACTTTTGCCCCACCATATATGTGGTGATCATTGGAGCACAGAATTATCTAAAGCACCCTTAAAAAAAGAAGTAGAAACAATTGACCCTGTTCTTTGGGGCTATAAGAAACATCCAGGCAATCAGCGAGTCTTTTCTAATTGAACTTGCCTTATCTTATGCAAATCAAAGCAAGAAAAACATTGATGAGAAGAAGAGTAATCAGAGAAGCCTTCTTAGAGAAGGTGAACTGTAAAGCCAGAGTAGTGGAGAGAACTTTAGAGGGCTTAGCAAATAGGGGGAAATGCCATGAGAAAAATTCAGGAGGCCAAAATTAACCGGACGCTTATTGAGAAATGATACCAACTTGGTTGAATTTGAAAGTAAGCAATGGAGATTTCCTAAGAGGTCAATTGGTCAGTAGAATAAGGAAAAGTTAAATCTGAGAGACATTTCATACTCAGTGATGACTCTAAGACCAGCCAATCCAACTTCAACATGTTACATTCCTGAAAACACTATCTCACAATGCCACGTGACAAAGTTAAATGGGAAACAGCCGAGGGTCTGTTGCCAAAGGGTGTCAGATCCTTGTGCACACTATTTTAATTTCTTGGGATCTTATTTATAAAATTAGAATTGGATTAAATCACTTCAGAGTTTTTAAAAAAATTAAAAATTGATGACTAATCGATCCAGCCTTTCAGCAACTTTCTGAGGTTCCGCAGTCCTATTTCCAGTATTCTAATTGCTAAGATTGAGTCCATGCTGTTAGTCCTTGGCAACTGTACCTACGGTTGTTCAATATTGATTGACTATCCACACTGGGACTCTCAAACTAAGCACACAGAATGGGCACTGCCCGTTAGGAGATTTTATTTATCCAAGGGCTGGAATGTGGGTCAGACCTATTTGCATCTTGCTGGCTTGGA